TGCGCCCCCCCTCGCATGCTTCTCGGCGAGGACTGCTACTCGCTCCTCCTCATTGGCCCAAGACTGCGAGCACAGAGGACAACAGACAATGAGGATAAACAGGAAAATTACTTCGCCTCTCGCATGCTTCTCCGGAGCGACACCCACTCGCTCGTCCTCATTGGGCCAAGGCTGCAATCACAGAGGAGAACGGGTAATGAGAGACGACAAAAAGATTGACCAAGGCAGTCATAAGGATGCAAGTCAGCGACTCTGAAAGGGCAGCAAGCTGCTCCTCGTCATTAGGCCAAGGCTGGAAGCACTGAGAGAACATCATGTTCGAAGCACATGATGTGACGAGAATAAGCCAGAAAAGCTTTTCTCCTTGTGGGCGCTTCGAACACTGCGGCCTGCGTCCCCTCTCGCACGCGTCTTTGGAAGGACTGCCACGCTCTCGTCCTCGTTGGGCCATGGCCGCAAGCACAGACGAGAGACGACGAAGGACTGTCAAGGCGTTTAGGAGGGAAAAGATCTAACAGCTAGCCTCCCCGCTGGACTGCAACTTGCTCCTCCTCATCGGGCCAAGGCTGGGTTGCAGTAAGCGTGTTATTTCCTGAAGACACTGGACCTGGCAAGCTCACCTGGCGATGCGTTGAGAATCCGTACAGCTTCCTCCCCTTCAACATGTGTTGCTTCAGTGGAGGCAATGGCTGCAAGCCGGCACTCCAAAGCACTTCCACCTGAAATGAAAACCCACGAAGAGCAGAGCTTACTAGGGCGAACGGTATCCTTGAGCCCGTGATCAGTCTCCTATCAGGTTGAATAACATCGGATGTGGGATTGATCAACTATTGAGCTTCGGTAGCTCGTAAACTGGAACCATTGCATAGAAAATTCAGCACTGACAGACGAGAAAGTGCTTACAGTGAAGGTGTGCTGCTGCTTCAGTTCGCCGTAGCTCTCTATGATCACTCTCCCTGCCACTTCCAGACACCCCGTACAGCCCTTCTTGTGCCTGCATGCACCATTATACAGGTGGAAAAGACATCATAGACACAGCTGTCGTTAGGCCTGGCTGGAATCCAACGCTGAGAGAGGCAGCATGAACAAAAGCTGGAGAACCAGGGATGGAACGAGGCTCATGGGAAAGGGCGGGAAAAAAGACAGGACGGGAATGAGGCAGGACGCGGAGCTCACCCTTTGAACAGGCACTGCTTGAAGAGGACGACGTCATTTCTACAGACGTCACCTGAGGCATGTAAGGCGAAGCATCAGAGCCGGAGGGAAACGCGTGTCAAATATCATCGATTCAGACATTATGATTTTAGAGAGTACCTAACATCAATCGAGTGCTATAATCGTTGACAAGATGCGGGGGAAGAGGTGGGGGGGAGGAGTGTGGGGGAGGGGGGTGGAGGGGGAAAGGAGAGGTGGAGGGGGATCGCAGGGCCAAAGCGGGGGAGTACCTTTGCAGTGGATGGAGAAGGATTCGCGCGGGTACTTGCGCATAGCTGACTTGACGTCGTGGATCCTGGCGAGGGATGAGATGACAACGCAAAGCAAGCGAGAACGAAAGAGCGAGAACAAAGCAAGCTGACCGAGATGGACTAGGCGAGCCAGGTACTTGCACATGGCTGACGCGGCGTCATTGATCCTGATAAAAGAAGAAACAGGCTGACAACGAGATCTAGAAATCATGATGAGGAGCGTTCAATAATTCCAATTCTACAAGTTCTAACCACCCCGCCCGCGCATAAGAAAACAGCCAGAAGCATCGGATGCTTTGACCATGGACTTGCGGAGAGCAAGAGGCCGGTGAGTCAAAGCAAAAGACACCTAAATGGACGGCTGACGGGTCGTCAATGCCAATAAAGCTTGGAAGGCGCGAGCCTGGAAAACTCCACACGCTGACAATGCCTATTTTTACTAGTGTGCTTGGGGGGTTGTAAAAACTGTTTTTAACGTGAAAAAACTTACTCGGCGTGCTCCTGAATGCGGCTGATCAGCACCGGCTTGGATCCGCTCACCCGCAGCTGGTGAAACCTCAGGTACGCCTGGCAGAGACCAACGGTTAGTTGACTCCACTCACCCACTGCCATCAGAAACGCCAGGTGAGCAATTGGTAAGAGTGTAGCTCGAAAAGCCATGGATTGAAGCGAAGCTCGCGGACAGCAGTGTACGACGCGTACCTTGGATGAACGAGAGCGCCTTGGCATAAATATCAGAAGTCGAGGACCCCGCGTAAACGATTCTGTTCCTCAAAACCCTCAAGCTCACGGCTCTCGGCGACACGTTGCTTCCCGAGCTCGTTCCCTTCCCCGTGTCGCGAATATTTATGGTGGAAGTCGCCTCGTCGTCGTCGCTGCTGCTGCTACTGCTGTCACTGTCGCTGTAACTATCGCTACCGCTATGGCTATCACGATTGGTGTTACCATCAGTATCGCTACGGCTGTTACTATTGGTATTGCTGCTACTCGTATCAATATTTCTGTCACTAACGCTGCTTTCTTCACGGCCCTCTTCCAACGAGTCATTGACTGCTTCATCTTTCCGGTCAGTGAGTGGAATAGCCGCACATTCAGGCACGTCGGCCGTCATCGTATTGCTCAACGGATGCACGTTCAACGTGCATTATCTGTCAGGTAGTCGCGCGCGCGAGAACTCAGCAATAACAAGGCATGACCTACTAGGTCACCAGTAGTTACTAATATTGAACCGCGACGGTATACTAAAGCTCTGGTATTACGTAACCAAGCTATGACTCAAACTTGTGCCACCTTCGTGCGGCGTCAAAAGGCTGAATGAGGCCGGACATAGAGTGGCCTTTTGAATTTCTCAAAAACCAACACGGAAATAGAGTTCCTGGAAGCTCACCGGCTCACGAAAACATTTCACGAGAGGGTGTACAGAAAACAGTTGCCGATGCTGGATGTCTGAGCGATTTTTGGTCAAAGTAAAATCCTCTCCTAGACATCTAAACGCGTGCCGTTCCAGAATCAGGCTAGACCACCCATCCTACACAAAACGGCTCAGATCCAATGTGCTCAAGCAAGGTGCAACATCCATGCGGAGCTCAAAGCATGACTAAGGGCGTGCCCCTCGGGTACGTATAATTGCGGTTGGGTGAGATGCTTTACCAGTCAGAAGGTTCAAAAAACGATCCAAGACGTTTTGGTAGGGTATTGAGCGAGAAACGTACTTCTTGCGGCTCAAATAACGATCAGATTCCAGCTTTTGTGTGAACACATATGTTGCAGAAACATATGGTTGGCTGCAACCAAGGGTACAGATTTGATGACGCCACATGAAGATGCATCGTAGCCCTTGGATACGGACTGTCTGTCCGGAACAAATAGTCGAATCGTGTGCCTGACACAGCCTGAGGAGCGCCAGCCCCTTGAAAAGTTCGAAAAACGCGCGGGAAAGAACAGCAGTGGACGACAAAATCATACTCGTTAATATCTGGATTCTACTGATGTCGATACGATATGCTTATCCCTCTGCAAATATTCCAAATCTGTTATGTTATGTGCTCTAAAGTCATATTTCTGTTTTACTTGTTTGAAACGGCCAAGAAACGGCCATTCTAGTTGAAAATAACTTTAGAGAAGGTATGAGTGGGAGAAATTAGTGGCAGAAGGCGTTCCATGGGGGGAACATAGGGATACGTAAGCCATCTTACCATCTAGCCACCTTTTGACACCTTCCATTCGTATATCCTTGGTCAATGTATACTCTCTTTCGCCCCTGCTTACCGTGGCCACAGCAAGACTTACCAGTGCGGGATCGAGAAGAACCCTGCAGCTCATTTCAGAGCAGGTTATACGCTGCTGTATGGTATAGTGCGATTTACTGGGACGTTGCATTGAATAGGAGAGGTGAACCGTCGAAATCGTCTTTTATTTCACTTATTCCCCAACCTACGAAGGCATATCCTCCCACGCTAGTGAGGGTTGATTGGATAAGAAAACAAAGCGAAAAGCTAAGACATTTCAGCAGCCGTCAGCGCCACCGGCGGCTTCTCGGGAGGTGTGTGGCGTAAATCCTGTCGCAAAGGGCTCTTTTCACACATGGCTCGCTGCACGAGGCTCGCCGCACGATGCTCGTCAGAAAATGGTATACATCTGCACCACTCAGCGCGTAGCCTTAGAAGACGTATCCCGCCGCTCTGGCTTCCGCCTCCGCCCTTTCCGCCTCAGCAATAGCTTCCGCCATTCGCTGCTTCTGTCTCCGCACCTCGAGGTCCGCCTCCCTCTTCGCGCCCAAGGCTTCGTCGACAATTCGCTTCGCTTCGTCCATTTCGCCAGCGGCCTCCGCCACTCGCTTGTTCGCCTCGTTGACGTCGAACTGCAGCTTGTCGATGCTCGGCATCTTGATCGCGGAGCTCGCGGGTTTCGCCCGCTTCTTCTTCGCCGCGAGAGCCTCGCTCGTGCACAGGGCGAGCACGAGGAGGACGCAGAGAGCCGCTCGTTTCCAGTGAGCCATGGGGAAGAACGATGAGAGAGAAAACGCTTTACGATTTACGGCGAAAGGAATACGGTTTCGAGAAAGCTGGGAAGCCCGAGGAAATTTCAGTGACTTCGGAAACGAGTAGAAGGCTGACGTCTCGAGACGAAGAACTGATAAGAGATGATGGCTGAGATATCGAGCAGGAAGTCCTCATATATGGAGCACAGGGTGGCTGTCGTGGGGAAAGTCAGGTGCGGCCGGGTGGGAAGGAACAGGGTAGTCATCGTGCAACCTGTCTGCATTCATGGGCCGAAGAGGTGAAGATGTTTTCTGTGCGGTTTGGAGCGCTGATAAGTGGACTATGAGGAGTTACTGTACTCCACAGTTTGCGTCACCGAGCCGCACTGCCTCCAGCTGCCCAGGTGATTCGGAAAGCGTATACGTACCGTAAGCGGAGTGTGGGGGCGACGAGCCTGTGGAGTGTGGCTTTGGTGTAGCTGGTGGAATGCAAACGCGTACAAGGTGCGGCGATTCGTTAGTAGGACGACGGAAACACTTTGGGCTCCATACAAGTCAACATTCAATGAGTCTTCTCTACTTAGTGTTACATTTCTAACATCGACCTTTCGTATTGCCTTACACGTTTTACATCGCGCACATACATAGATGGAAGGGCTCACATCACAGGCGTCTCACATTACGGGTTTCCCCAAGGAAGAGGCATCCAAAAACATCATTGAAAAAGCTTTTGGGTCGCAACCACTCGGATTCTTCATCCGCTTCTGCGTTGCCTCCTGAACTGGGTCTTGGGAAAACCCTCTTCATATCGTAAGTCACCGCACGGGTACAGTCTGGGCAGTATGTTACCTGCATATGATCATAAAGAAAACAAAATAACAAGAGTATGTGGAACCATGATTCGTAATTGGCTTTTAGCAGCATTTAGCACAACAATGCAATATGCTCTTCCGCGAGAGAGTCAACAGCAGGGCATGAAGGCAGCAGTTATATGACGAACCTCTAGAAGCTTGGGTTGAAACTGATCGTCCAGCATCACATCCACGCCGTAGATGGCTCGACAGGTGTCGCCATCTGGCTGCATCTCGGGATGAACAGTAACGGCAGCAGCCAGGAGCTCCCGCAGCATTCTCTGCACCGATTGGTCGATGGACTGCCAAGTCACTGTGTGACAAGCAGGCAGGATGGCCAGACGGGAAGGGGGAGGAGGAGGAGAATGGGGGGGTGTGTGCGCGCTTGAAGCACGGTGAAGGGTGGCAGAATGGATGTGGCAGCAGAGAACAGCTCCCTAGCGAAACAGCACATGGTGGTGAGGTGACAAAGAGGAGCTGAGTGATATAAGAGGGGGCGATAAACTGGAAGTCTGGTGAGGTGACAAAGAGACCTGTATGATATAAAAGGTTGTGATAACTGGACTCATGGTGGGCATGCTGACACATGGATGTGTTACTACCCACATGCAGATGCATGGATGTGTTACTACCCACATGCAGATGCATGGATGTGTTACTACCCACATGCAGATGCATGGATGTGTTACTACCCACATGCAGATGCATGGTTGTGTTACTACCCACATGCAGATGCATGGATGTGTTACTACAGACATGCAGATGCATGGATGTGTTACTACAGACATGCAGATGCATGGATGTGTTACTACCCACATGCAGATGCATGGTTGTGTTACTACCCACATGCAGATGCATGGTTATGTTACTACCCACATGCAGATGCATGGATGTGTTACTACCCACATGCAGATGCATGGATGTGTTGCTACCCACATGCAGATGCATGGTTGTGTTACTACCCACATGCAGATGCATGGATGTGTTACTACCCACATGCAGATGCATGGATGCGTTACTACCCACATGCAGATGCACCCTACATCATCACCATGCCAGTCCTCATCCGTACCATTGTGCTGCTGCTCGAATGCCCGTACAAACTCGTGCGTTGGCACATGCTCATACTTGTGGCCACTGTAGTTCTGCAGAGGGGGAGAGAGAGACATGCATGCATGTATGTATGGAATGGAGATGAGCACCGACATAGACACACAGAGATGAAATACATGCAATGATTGGTTTGGAGGAATTGCTTGAAGCATCTTCTGGTGCTTGTGAGCAAAATACTTGTGCATGATAGAGCAAGCACGGGTGATGACATTACGAGAAAACCACATGCACTACCACAACGTGGCATGCATTATCACCATGATGACGTGGCATGCATTATCACGATTATGACGTGGCATGCATTATCACGATCATGACGTGGCATGCATTTTCACTCACCATGACAGTGAAGTGGGTCTGGAAATCAGAAAGCGAGTCCTCCATCTGAGAATACGCCTTGTTGGCAATGCGAGCCTGGAGATACACGAACGCACACAAGGGAGAAAATGCATGCACACAAGGGAGGAGTGAGAAAATGCATGCACGTAGGCTTGAGCAACAGGTCGGGTCGGGTCGGGTCAGGTAACCCGACCCGAACCCAAATTTTTGACGGGTCGGGTCAGGTTTCCCGTAGGCAGAACCCGACCCGTCGGGTTTGATTTTTACCCATCGGGTCGGGTCAACCCGAACCCGACATGTCGGGTTGACCCGACCCGACTTCGGGTATACATCGTTGGGTTGACCCGACCCGACCCGACCCGAACTCGGGTCGCGCCTTGAACCGACGCGATCTGGGCGACCAGAGTTGCGCATATCTGGGAAGTCTGATTATTTGGTAGAATTTTCGACCAAATGGGTCATTTCCCATATCCTACTCAGGCTACCTCCCATTTCTACCCTGCATCCACCTCATTCCTACCAGTAATCTACTCCCCACCATACTTATTAGTACAGCTTAGGGTCTAGGCAGATCCAGATCGATTTCGATTGGATCGACTCAACCAACACTCGACACCCCCAACCCATCCGAATTTCGCCGACACCCTCAACCCATCCGAATTTCGCCAACACCCCCAACCGATCCGAGTTTCGCCAACACCCCCAACCCATCCGAATTTCGCCAACACCCCCAACCCATCCGAATTTCGCCAACACCCCCAACCCATCCGAATTTCGCCAACACCCCCAACCCATCCGAATTTCGCCAACATCCCCAACCCATCCGAATTTCGCCAACACCCCCAACCCATCCGGATTTCGCCAACAGCCCCAACCCATCCGAATTTCGCCAACACCCCCAACCCATCCGGATTTCGCCAACACCCCCAACCCATCTGGATTTCGCCAGCACCCCCAACCCACCCAATTTTCGCCAACACCCGCAACCCACCCAAAATCTCGTCAACACCCCCAAACCAGCCAAAAATTCGCCAACCATTTTTTCGCCAACACTCCCAACCAATCCAACACCCATCCCGTGACTGGTTTTCGCCAACATCCAACCCACATCTCGAGGTTGTGGATGGGAGGATGAGGTGGGTGCGTGGGCTAGACATGAGGAGGACATACTGGATCTCGAAATTACGAAATCCATATGTTTCCCTTAGGAAAAAATACTCAGGTCGGGTCAAGTCGGGTCGGGTCGGGTTGGATCGACCCGACCCGATCACGGGTAAGAGATAACCCGACCTGTTACGGTCGGGTCGGGTCGGCGAAATCCTAGGATCGACCCGACTTGACCCGACCCGACCCGACCCGAACCCGACATCGGGTAGGGCAAATTCGGGTCGGGTCGGGTTTATGCTCAAGCCTACATGCACGCAAGGGAGGAGTGAGAAATTGCACGCACGCAAGGGAGGAGTGAGAAAATGCATGCACGCAAGGGAGGAGTGAGAAAATGCATGCACGCAAGGGAGGAGTGAGAAAATGCATGCACGCAAGGGAGGAGTGAGAAAATGCATGCAGGCAAGGGAGGAGTGAGAAAATGCGTGCACGCAAGGGAGGAGTGAGAAAATGCATGCACGCAATGGGAGGAGTGAGAAAATGCATGCACGCAAGGGAGGAGTGAGAAAATGCATGCATGGAAACAAAGCGCAACAGTGTGATGGCCTCTTGAGGCGCAACAGTGGGATTCGGCCTCTTGAGCAGCACGATGACCTTCCTGGCTTCCATGCGTGAGGAGTCTATTTTTGAGGCGCCTAAAAAATTCAGCTTCTTGAGCAGCATAGTGACCTTCCTGGCTTTCTCGCAGGTCGGACTTCCTCGCTTGGGACAGCGCCGGCCAGGAGATGTACTCGTGCCATGTCGCACACCCTCTCTCACACCTTTCACTGCTTCCCTCGCACCCAGTCAGCTCACCCAGAACACATCGGACTGGTACGCGTCTAGCGGCTTGAGTCTCTTCAGCAGCACAGTGGACAGGTATGCATCGGATAGGTACGCGTCTAGCAGCTTGATTCTCTTCAGCAGCACGGAAGAAGCTCAGGCCGGATTTTGGCCGGAGTCTTCCCTTGGTGTGGGGCGCCTCACGAGTCACAACCGCACACACTAGCATGCCGTAGTCAACTTCCTTCCATTGAAGAGCGCCGACCACGACATCTGCTTCTGGTACACCTTGGGGCCGGTCCCTCACTCTCTCTCTTACTCTCCCTCGCGCAGCAACAGCAAACAGCACACAGCACACAGCACACATCATGCAGAAAGCAGGAGGCAGGAGGCAGCAAGCAGGAAGCAGGAGGCAGCAACTAGCAAGTACGAGCAGGCAGCAGTCAACTCACCCAGAACACATCAGACAGGTAGGCGTCCAGTGATTTGAGTCTCTTGAGCAGCACGATGAAGTGGACGTCGAACTTCCTCCCATTGAAGAGAGCCGGCCGCAAGATGTACCTTCGGCACACCTTGGTGTGGGCCGTCCACAACACAACACCACCCAGCATTCAGCAGTCAACTCACCCAGAACACGTCGGACAGGTATGCCTCCAAAGGTTTGAGCTTCTTCAGCAGCACGATGAAGCGCATGTCAAACTTTCTTCCACTGAATGGCGCCGGTCGCGAGATGTGCTTCTGGCACACCTTGGTGTGGGCCGTCAACAACACAACACAAGTCCGGATTCAGCAGCAGTCAACTCACCCAGAACACATCTGAGAGGTATGCCTCCAAAGGTTTGAGTCTCTTCAGCAGCACGATGAAGCGCATGTCGAACTTCCGCCCGTTGAACAGCGCAGGCCGCGATATGTACTTCTGGCACACCTTGGGGCCAGTCTCTCCCAGCCGTAGGATCTGCGCCAGGTGGCGTGACACCGTTGCATCCATGCTGCGGGCGAGATTCCACGGCTTCATGATCCACGTGTTATCGAGCTCTGGTTCTGACGGGCACAAAAAAAACGGGCAGGGGAGGGAGGTGAGGGTGCAGTGCGTGCGAGGAGTGCAAGATCGGAATTGTGATTCACGGCTTCAATATCCACGTGCTCTCAGTCAGATGGCGATGAGGGCCAAGAGTCAGCATCTGCTGTGATAGGATTTTCAGAATTCTTAAAGACAAGAAACGTTTTTTAGAATTCTAAAAAACCTAACACGTGCTGTCAGATGGCGATGAGGGGGCGAAGTCGAGTCAACCTAGGCAGAAGGGTGAAGACACAGTAAAAAGGGGCGATCTGATGCCTCTGTTTCCTGGAAGCATCCTACAGACGACGCCAGCTCTGAGCTTCAGCTTCTGAGACTGCATGTTGAAAGGCATCCCTCTCACTCCGCTCACCTTCACTGCTTCCAGTGCCTTTAGCCCCCCATCACCCTCATAGGTGACTTTCGAGTGTAATGAGTCGATTTTTGAGTCGACTCAAAAATCACATGGTAATCAGGCCCCTCCCAGCAGCTGCTGCCGCCTCAGTTTCCTGGAAGAGCCCAGCCCACACTGCATGTCGAAAGGCATCCTTCTCACTCCGCTCACCTTCACTGCTTCCAGTGCCTTTAGCCACCTCAGCACCCCCCTCATAGCCCGCGATCAGCTTCTGCCCGGCTGCTGCTGCAGCTGCCACCTCCCTTTCCAGGAAGCACCCTATGAGCGCTGCCAGCTCGCACTGCATGTCGTACGTGTCCTGCAGCCAGGGACGCGTGCCTCCATACGCCTGAAAGCAACCAAGCAACCAATAGAAAACAGCACGCATGTGTACGGGAGAGCACCTAGCACCTGACGAGCGCCGCCAGCTCACACTGCATGTCGTAGGTGTCCTGCAGCCAGGGGTGCGAGCCTCCATACGCCTGTAGGGGAGGAGGGGAGGCACGGAAGCAGACGTCCTCAGGCTCCAGTTACGTAGCCCTGTGCGCGGCTCGTAATACGTGACCAGTTGTTCGTAGGCCCACGGGATGCTGTCATCCATGCTGCTGACTACAGCCCATTCGTACAACACGGCTGCAGACATGTTCCACGCGACCTCGATCAGGCACAGGGTACTCTTCGCCTCCCTGCTGCCCGTTCCCCTGTGCCTGATCCTTGCGTTCATGTCCCCCTGCCTCGATCGCACGTAGCAGGTGAGACCGGACTCACGCCTGGTCATGACCCTAGCCCCTGACTCCTGGGCCAACTCGTGCAGGCCAGCTGCTGGCTTCCCTGTTACCCTGAGCTCGTACTCCACGTGCATGTGCGACACCCTTGGCCTCAGTCGACTTATGCAACTGGCCTGGATCGGCCCCTGCACAGGCATGCCTAACCGTGTGTGTGCTTGTACGTAGACATGGGCACAAGCCGAGCCACACCTGGCTCGACTCGGCTCGGCTCGCCTTTAAGGCGAGCCGAGCCTTTTTTTTGTGCCCGGCTCGGCTCGGCTCGCGCACGCGAAACCAGGCGAGCCGAAGTCGAGCCGGCTCGAGATGGCTCGATTTCGAGCCAGCCGGCTCGCGGTTCGGGTATGGGGGGGTTTCGCGACACTCAAATTTCAAATCGACGAACTCCCCCAACCCCATTTCGTAAACCAACCCTAATCTTTCCATGTTGCCCTAGGCTATTGCCCTAGACATTCGCCCTCAGCCAGAACCAGAACCATTTAAACTTGCAGCACCTTGTGTTTTTTTTTTACATGTAAGTGCTATTACAATTAGGGCCACCGAGGCCTTGGCTCGTGGTATGCGCACGCTAGGGTTTAGGCATGGGCGTGCGACCGTTTAGGCCTACTCACGCAATGCTGCAGGGTTTAGGGCGCTCGGTAACGCTAGATTAGGGCGCGCGAAGACATACGTTAAGCGCATGCGTTCGGGAAGGGCGGGGGGCGCGATCTTGCGCATGGCAAAGACCAAGGCAACAGCGGCTAGGCAAGGGGGGCCGGGGAGGGATCGTGTAGCGGGCACAACAGGTGAGGCGGTGGGGGACCAGGGGGGTGTCAGTTCACGGGCGAATGCGACCGATGGAGGTGGAGCCATGCCCCACATGCCTGAGGAGTGGACGAATTTCCTCCTCTCTCGGCAGGGGATGGGACGAGGGGGAGGGGGGGGAAGGGCTCAGGGGGAGGGGAGGAGGTCGAAGCGCGCACCCGCTCGCCGCAGCAGGGAGAGCGGCGGTGATGAGAGGGATGGGAGCGATTCGGAGGAGCAGGAGAGCGGAAAATCTAGCGGCAGCGAGTATGAGGAGGAGGAAGAGGAGGGGGATGATGAGCACGCGATGGAGGGATTGGTGGAGGAGGAGGAGGAGGAGGAGGAGGAGGAGGAGGAGGAGGAGGAGGAGGAGGAGGAGGAGGAGGAGGAGGAGCAGGAGGAGGAGGGGGAGGGTCGGTCCAAGAAGGGAACGGGTGGGAGTAGGGGGGGGGAGAGCGCCAGGGGGAAGAGGCAGCGTCAGGAAGGGAGTGGGGTTGGGCGACGGCCAGGGGGGGAGGGAGGGGCGGGGAGGAGGGGGAGGAGCGCGCTGCACCTGCCGTCGGGTTTCAGGGCAGGGGAGGGCGTGCGGATGGGGCTGAGGAGGTGGACCCAGGCGTTGAGCAGGAGGGGAGAAGGAAGAGACAGAAAATGAACCGCAAGGTTGGGGCAAAGAGGAGCAACAAGCGTGTGGCAGAGTGTTTCGTGGGGAGCGAGAGGAAGCGAGTGTGCAAGATGTGCGAGAAGCCGATGGGTTTCAAGGACAGCCAGACCAGCACGGGTGCCAAGCACATGGCGAGACACCATCGCCCACACTGGGACATATGGCAGCGGCGCGGGGTCGAGGGTCTGGAGCCAGGAGAGTCGTTTCCGGTGGGGGGATACCACATGTCACTGATGGGAAGGCGCCCAACGAGTGGTCCAAGACTTGGTCGCACCCCCCCCACGGCGCCAACATCCCGGACCTGTCCCCGGCAGCGGCGGACGCGAGGCAGCCCACGATGGACCGGTTCCTTGGCCCACGTGTGTCGGAGCCGCGTTTGCGTCAGGCGATCGTCGAGTTCATTGCCAGCACCGACAGCTCCTTTCGCATCGTAGAGGACCCCGCGGTAAGCGAGCCACCCCACCAGGCCCCCCCCACCCACCCTTCCTTAACCTACTGGATCATTGTGTTGCCCCCCTCCCGCCCCCCCTTATAACCTACTAGATCTGCCCCACCACCACCTCCTTCCCCCCCCGCATGTCGCTAAACAACCCCAAACCCCACGCCCCCCCTCTCGTTTCCTTTTGGCAGTTCCGCCGCCTCTTGGCTATGTGCAACCCCCAATGCGGTGACGCAATCCCCATAACCGACCGGACCACCGTTTCCAGGGACCTCCGCTTCTACTCTGAGGCGGCACGGGACATGCTCCAGTCGGAGTTTGAGGCGGGTTCAGGGAGCGGGCGTGTCTCTTTCACAACGGACATATGGACCGGGGGTAACAGGCAGGGTACATGACAGTGAAGTGACGGCGCACTTCATTAGCAGGGACTTTCAGCTGCGCCAGTGTACACTGGAGTTTATGGAGCTGGAAGCGCGCCACACAGGGCGGCTGATTGCAGACGGATAACGCCAGCAGCAACACAGCCGCCATGCGTCACCTCGCCGGTCTTGGTCCTCATGCGTTGGCCACGCCTCATCTCGCAGATGGCATGCATTTCCGGTGAGAGCGTGGCGCGCTTGCAGCCCTTGTCTTGTCCACATTGTCTGCTGTTCTTCAAACGATCCACACCTCCCCTCTCAATGGCATAGAGGGTGCTTAATGATTTCCCTCCCACCTCTCCCCCCCCCCCGTGTGCGCCTTCGTACATGTAGCTGCCTGGCGCACATCCTGAACCTTGCAGTCCAGCGTGCGCTGAAGCTGCAAGCGGTGAGGGTGCCGCTGAAGCTCCTACGCGACATTGCCACCTTTGTGGGATGGAATGAGAGGCGCACGCGCGAAATTGAAGCGCAGCAGCGGTCCGATCCGGTCCTCAAAGGGACGGTCCTACGCCTGGTACAGGACAGCGAGGTTCGCTGGGGCAGCACACACGAGATGGTCGCGCGTGCATTGAGGCTTCGCCGATCCCTCACTGCGCACTTTGCAGTGGAGCAGGTACCGTCTTTACAAAAGCCCACTCCACCGTTTCCATTGCGTGTGCGGATGCTCCAGCGCACACCTTGTGTGACATTTCCTTCCATGCTGCCACACCCATTGTCTCTCTCCCCCAACCCCCCGCCCCCCCCCCCATGGACCCCTGCTCACTTCCCAGGGAGAGACGGCTAAAGAGCGCGCGAAGTACGTTGCGTTGCGCTTGACCGACGCGCATTGGGACATGCTGGATGTCCTGGCGGAGTTCCTGGCGCCGTTCAGTTCCATCACGGAAGCGGCCGAGGGCTCTTCCTTCCCCACATCATCTGCTGTTGTGCGACAATTCAACGAGCTGATGGACACGTTGCAGGCATGGCCGTCACCCAGCCTCATCGGCCGTCAGCTCGTTGGCATCGCCTTCCCCGTGCTGGAATGGTACTATTGCAGCAGCAGCGATGAGCTCGTGGTGGCGACGTTTCTGAACCCCGGCATGAGGCTGGTGTTCTTCGAGGTGGACACAGGGATAGACACCCGCTCTGGGGGAGAGGGGTAGGGGGCAAACGGGGTGGGCGTGGAAAGCGGACTGGGCGGGTCTTCGCGCGCGCTAGTAGTGCGTGCCGCTGGCGCGGGGGGAGGGCAGGAGGAGATGGGTTCAGAGAAGGGCACAAAGGAGGAGGACGAGGAGGACGAGGAGGAGGAGGAGGATGAGGAGGACAAGGAGGTGGAGGAGGAGCAGCAGGGCAGGCCTGTGGCGAGCTTCAAGCCGTCAGAGGTGCTGACCCTTGTACGAGCTCGCTTTGCTGAGTACAGTAAGCGGCTGCAGCAGGCGGCACAACCACAGGGCGGGGGCAGAGGAGGGGTGGGCTTGGCGGGGGGGGAGGTTGAGGGTGGATATGCTAGTGGTGTACCAGTGCGGGGTGGCTTGAGCCAGTCTCTCCACGCCAAGCTGCTAGCGCGCTCCGCACGACGGGGGTCCACGGTGCATTGAGGGACGAGGTGGATCGTTACATTGAGGGGGAGTTGCATGAGGGTTGCCCCCTGGCGTACTGGCGCGAGAGGTCAGATATGCCGGTGTTGCAGGCTATGGCCAGGGACTACCTGGCCATACCAGCAACATCGGCAGCTAGCGAGCGTGTGTTCAGTCAGAGCCGAAATGTGATCACCTGCCATAGGCAGAGGTTGACGGGGGAGAGCGTGCGAGCCACTATGACACTCAAGTGATGGACTCGCACGCACCCTGGTGTCTCTCTGTTAAAGCCAGGGTGGATCAAAGAGATGGAGAAGCTCGGGGTGGAGGAGCTCTAGGCTGCGTGCTTGCTTGCCGATCGTGCACCTGAGCTTGTCATTTGCGCGTGCAGGCAGGACGATGCCCTCGACGAGGAGTAGGTCAAGGTGCTCGTACAAGTAGACATGGGCATGAGCCGAGCCTGGCTCGGCTTGGCTCATTTGGGGTCGAGCCGAGCCGGCTCGGCTCGCCTCGAGCCGGGTCCTCAGGATCCCTGGCTCGGCTCGTTAAGGGGCCTTGTGTAACCTCTCGAAAAGGGCCACTGTTTTTGGGGTGTCTAGTCCAGGGGACCAGCCAGATTGTGATTGTGAACAAGTGCTGCTCTGGTTGGGGCGCCACTACAAATCTAGGTGGGCAGAAACAGGTATCCCCTGTTTCTATCCACGAC